CCCCCCCCCCCCCTCCAAAGATAATAAAATTAAAATTTTTTTAAACCGCTGCCATTTTGTAAAAAAGAATTATTTTAAAAAATCATTACGCTCAACTGAAACTCATACAGAATCAAAATTTTTAAGAAATTTTCATTTCAAATCATTACAACTTAAGTTCTTTATGTCGCCAATGGACTATGTTTTTCGAACATGAAAGTTTAATGTTGTGCAACATTGCCATATATTTATACTTAGAAATACAAAAATTCTTAAAATGTTTTCAATGTGTATCCATTTGATACCAATTCATATTCTTTCTAAGACTTATAATTACCTTTAAAAAAATTGATAAAGAAAGATCTTTTTTAAGGCATTTACTCTGTTTTATCCACTTAATGAAGTATAAAAATTAATTTTTATTCATAATGGAAACAACCTATAAAAACGATATCTATAATACATACGCAACAGAACTTACCAGATTTATGAGTGAGGCATTTAATAAACCGATTGCATCGGAACACAACAGCAAATAAAAAAATTGAACAATTATAATCGATTCATACACGAATCTTTTATTAGTGTCAAATGGTAGATCCATTTCTAAAACGAGCAATCGTGTAGAAACATTGGAAGCATTGCCATCATCTATGTGTTTCCTAAGGATGTGAGTGCTATAGAGAATTACAGCTGTAGAATAAAGAATCACTGTCATGTTAGCAAAGCGCTCCGACAGTTTGGCATTATACGATGTCACGAACATACTGAATTTCTTCTTAGAACACTTTTTCCAGTCGATCGTCATCATTGTTAATAAGCTATTGAATGTTCTACATAATTTTATATATTTAGTCATAAGCATGATAATAGCCGCAATGGAATATTATCCAAACCATCGATGAAAAATTTATCGTTATGCAATGACTTTACAAATGAGTTTATATATTTTATTTTTGCGTATAAGAATTTATTTATTATAACAATTTGTCTTCAGTCATATTCATATTCACAATTACCGAATAATTAACTTTACCGATCAAAATGTTAATTGTTGAATTGAGATGTAATAAAAAACTTATTTAATTACATTAATTTGGATAATTAGTGTGTATCAAATAATATTTAAAACAAAATTTTTCACTGATAGTGCGTATATTATATGTCTCACCAATGCGCATCTCACCGCTGTTTATACCAAAAAATGATGAGTTTAATTAAAAATATCGTATACGACATTACAGAACTTAAAATGGTTACTATCTCTATAAACTTCATCAGACGGAAATTTTTTATGATATATCGGTATTGAGCAACTTGCTCGAATATGATTGAAACAATCCAGAACAGTCTACGTAACAAAACGAATGACGTGTTCGGCCAAATGCCAAAGATACGAAACAAAATTTCTGTAGCTGGACTAACAGTATTCTTTATTTCCATATTTATATTATTATTACTTTCTTATTATTTTGTACTGTTAATATGCATCGAATCTGGTAAGAGAAGAAAAAAAAACAGATTACGAAAAACACTTGATCGATCATATGATGTGCACGATGTAGTGTTTTTGTACAAACTGAGAGCTTGAAAGAGAACGAGAGTAGAGGGAATTCTCTTACAAACGACTTATTAAATATTTTGATCGCAACATGTACAGATTGCGTGTATATATTGTCGATAAAAAAAGAAATTTCCGGATGGCCGATCTTCTCCCTCTCAAATTCTTGGGCAAACGGTGGTGTAGCTCGCAATGCATAATTTTCTTTAAAAATTCAAGCAACAACAGATAGCAACACGCGAACGTTCACAGGATATTATACTGTGCTCAGTAACAGTGAGAAAAGTTTTGTACATCAATAAATAGGGGAGACTTTTCTTAGGAAGAGAGATGGTAGAGAAAGCGAAAGTTTTTCTTTTTCCGAGATTTTATTTCCTCTATATCGAAAGATATTCTTCCTCGCGCATTATGTAAGTGCGGCTAGTATGCACGCGTTCGCAATTCATTCTCCTGAAATATGTAAATCGCACAATTTTGGAAGAAGCTCTGATATACGTCAGATACAGGTTGCGAGCAATGATCGTGAATAAGTAAATCAGAAGCAGGAGATGGAGAAAAAAGTGCTGAGTGAAGTTTATATTTCAGTAGTAACGGTGTTCTTGACAAAGCAATACTTATAAGCTATAAACAGTATCGTAAAATGCAAAGAACTTATGTTAATCTTCGATAAAAGATTGTTTTGATTATTTTGATATTATAATATTGTTTCAACCTTATAAAAATCTAATATCAAAACAAATCTATCTATTTGCAGGGAGAGCATTAGTTATATAATATTATTATCCATATTTTGAGTGTGAAAGAAAAATTAATTGATTTAATTATATTTAAAGCAAATGGAATATTATTTGTAATATCATAATAAATATCAACAATAATAATTTCTTTAATATTGTTATTGTTAATTTTTTTTCTTACACATATGTTACAATTTTATACTTATTAGTGGAAAGTAGAAGAATTGTAAACACATGACAAACATAAATGTAGCTATTGTAGTATATTCGAGTTGAGATATCTTTTCGTTTCTCCAATACACTCCTGTACTATAGTGTACTATACCCAGAGATTTCTTCGATTTAAAAAAATATTTCTTTGTTATACGGATAAAGAAAAAATTTCTATGATTTGAACGTTATTTCTTTGATTTAAACATTAAACTTTTTGAAATCAAATAAAAAAATTCATTTAATTTAAAGAAATTATGTTCAAAGAAATTACATTCATGTCAAACAAAATTTTTTTTTTAACCGTATAGCAAAAAAACATTTTTTTAAATCGAAGAAACCTTTCTCTGGGTGTAAGTCTTTATCACATAATGTACACACTTTTTATTTCAAAGTAAATATTGCACATTTTCAATAATTATACTGAAGAATAGCAAAATAGCAAATTTTTAAGAAAAAAAGGTTAGATAAAGCCAATAATTATTTTTTATTTTTAGAAATCTTTAGTTACTGGATTATAACTGTAACTCTATTATGAAATTGTAAAAAGAAACAGAAAGGTATTTTTGACTTCTTTTGTCTCTTCTTTCTCCTTCTCTCTTTATTTCATGACAGGATAATATGACAACAACAAATTGTGAGATTTAAAAATGCATAATGCTGTATGTGCAGCAAGTACACAATATTTAAATAAAGTACCGCTCAAAAATAAAAAGAACATTGTCGGAAATCATAAAGAGCAATGTTATGTATGAGAGAGGAAAACAGGACAGGATTGCATTGTTCGGTCTCATTTAATAAACTGATCTTATTTAATAAATTGCGTATCTTGGATTATCGATCTATACTTGACAGTCTGAATTTCTTATTCTCTACTAATGCATATACGCGTGCAAATAACAGATAAAAGAAAATGGTAAGTAATACTTTAACGGTTTTGTTAATATTAAGTTATGTGCAAATTTTCTAATAATTAAACAATACCTATTAACAATAACTGTTAACATTAATTAGAAATTCAATGTAAATATAGCTTCAACACATTGCAAGTAAGATGGATATATAGGATCCTGAAGTTTTAATAATCTGTAAAAATATTATTCGATTACTATAAAATATCAAGTAAAAATTAAATATTTAATTTAAATCAAATTTAAATATTTAAATTGAATCTTAATTAAAAATCGATTTGTTTAGCATTTGACTTATTTTAATATAACGATGTATATATAACGATGTAATATTAAATAAATGTTATTTCTTATTAATCAATATAGATATAAAAAATATAGGACAAAAATAGAGCGAGATTAGTCGAAGCAAAATGTAACATGCAAACATCTTAATAACCGAAAGGCGGATATGTCTATATTTGTGTAAGACAGCGCCGACACAGACGAAAATTACTATGTTAAATACATTAATTCGACTGTCAAATATGTACGCTATTTCCGTATTAAAAGTAAAATTATTTCGAATGTTGCTTTTGATCTATATGGTAAATAAAATAATTAATAAAAATCAGATGTTTTTTTTAAAATAAGTCATAATATTTCTTAATTTTAATCTTGGCATTACTATTTCAATTACGGTTTCTTGGTTATAAATAATATTTAAAATTTATTTTAATTGTTGTTAATTGAAACATTTAGAGAATGGGTATTATCAAATCGTTACGAATAAAAGTAAAAACTGTAACAAAGACTTGATTAATACATTTAATATAGATCTGATAAACGCACATAATTCTAAACAATAAGTTTGGAAATAAGACCGTTTATGTTAGATACATTACTTTAAATACGAAGCGCTATTATGGTCTGAATATTAAAATATTGAACATACATATTCATTATACATATTCATTTAAATGAATTAATTTCAAAAATTACAATTGCGTGCTGATATAGTTGTCGGACTTTCAACGCAATCAATCTGAAATATTAATTTCCCTCCAAATTTCCCAAATTAATCTTAAAAAACTGTAATAAACTTATTGCGAAAGATATTGCCTCGGCCAGGAGTCAAGCCCGGATTTGTTGCATTCCGAACATCCTAAGCCTTTAGACTATCTAGACCATAGCAATATTCCTCGCAATAACCAATATGTATAGAAAATAGATTGATTGTATTGAAAATCCGACAATCATATCGTACGCAATTATAATTTTTGAAACTAATTCCTTTAAATGAATATATATAATACTTCAATATCTTAACATTCAGCTTCATATTTAAAATAATGTATCACACATAATTCTCTAATTTCTTTATAATGTACCTTTATAATATAAACTTGTAAAATAATTAACTTCGCAGTTAAAATTCCAACTAGAAATGAGTACATAATACAAAAAAAATGATTTAATTAATTGAAATAAATTATATAATATGTAGCTTATTTCAATTAATTAAATCATATTTTTGTGTTAAATACTCATTTAATTTTATAATAAGCAGTTTTTTATTGCCAAATTGAGGCATTTGAATTGAAAATGTCAAAACCATAAAGGGATAAACTTTAGAACTTGTAAAAAAAATTTTCTAGCTATAAAAACGTTTTATAATTCAATTAAATGCAACTTTTAGAAACCCTGTAAAAGATTCCGGGAAAATACTAATTGGATCTTGTTCTGATGAATGAACCTACAATTTGAGAGGAGTAGCAACCCATTTGAACATTTGGAACCTTACTAAAAACAACCTTGAACTCGAAGCCTTACGTTT